CACACACAGAGAGACACACAGACACACACACAGAGAGACACACAGACACACCACACACACACACACACACACACACACAGAGACACACACACACACACACACACACACACACAGAGACACACAGACAACACACCACACACACACACACACACACACACACAGAGAACACACACACACAGACACACACACACACAGACACAGAGACACACACACACAACACACACACGACACACACACACACACAGACACAGAGACACACACAACACCACACACACACACACACCAGAGACACACACACACACACACACACACACACACACACACACACACACACACACACACACACACACACACACACACAGAGACACAGACACACACACACACACACACCACACACACACACACACACACACACAACACAGAGACACACACAGACACACACACACACACACACACACAGAGACACACACACACACACACACACAGACACACACACACACAGACACACACACACACACACACACAGAGAGACACACAGACACACACACACACACACACACACACACACACACGACACACAGAGACACACACACACACACACACACACATTAACCTCCCCTCTCTCTCCCCCCCTCCAGGTGTCGCCCTCCAGTAAAAGGCGGAGTCAGACCCTCCAGCCAATCATTGAAGGTGAAACCGCTCACTTCTGGGAGGAGATCAAAGAGGAGGACGAGGACGAGGGGAAAGAAAAAGAAGGAGGAGGAGGAGGAGGAGGAGGAGACCAACAGGAGAGGAAGGAGGAGAGGGAGGAGGAGGAAGACGAGGAGGAGGAGGAAGAAGAGGAGGGAGAGAGCAGCGGCGGGGAGATGCAGAGCTCCGAGGTCATCATGGCCGTCGACATCGTGACCCCGACTGACGGGTCGATGAGGAGCCAGAACCAATCAGACAGAGCCAAGATGGAGGAGGGGTCCGGGAGGCTGGCACTGGACCTGCGGCTGTCCAGCTCCAACGCCTCGTCCATGTACGAACACACACACACACACACACACACACAAACTGGCTGCCTCCAGTGGCCACTTCATGAACTACACTTTCCAGCATTTATTTTGTTCCGTGTGTTTTAACCGTCCTGTCCCCGTCACGCTTCAGGCCAGAGCTGCTGAACAGCTGTGGAAGGCCAGAGCAGAGAAGAAGAAGCTGAGGAAGACCATCCGAGAGTTTGAGGAAGATTTTTACCAGCGAAACGGAAGGTAAGGGGGAGACGACACCAAACTCTCTGTACACACAGAACATGCAGATACCTTCATCATGTTAGCACTTAAAGCAAACTCTGATTTGAATCCGTCAAATTAGAGAAATAACATTTCATTATCTGAGATTATCATTCAGCCTTTTGTTTTGGTTGATAATCATCATTTTCATGTCGTGCTCACGATGGCGTGTTTAGACGTTTGACCCCGGGATCAGCCTTCGTGCCCGTTTGTCTCCTTAAATACTAAATGTCTTCTCCTCCGTCCCCGCTCTCTGCTGCAGGAATGTCCAGAAGGAGGACCGGGTCCCGAAGCTGGAGGAGTACAGAGAGTACAAGAGGATCAAGGCCAAACTCCGCCTCCTGGAGGTTCTGATCAGCAAACAGGATTCCTCCAAATCCATCTAGACCCCCCCCCCCCCCCCCCCCTCAGAGACCGACCGTCACTGCCGCGAGGACCCGCCCTCTTCAGTCCGTCAGACGTCACATCACAAACCACGGGGCGCTCAGCATCCCTCGACGTCTCATCAAGACGAGCGGAGGACGCCCACTCGGACTTCAACACGTGCTGCATTCATGTCGGGGAGGAAACAGTCTTTGACCTCGACCTGCAGTTTGACTTTGATTCATGACTCAGACGTTCTTTCTGACCAGGAGAAGACGAAGCAACGAGTGAGTCAGTAAAAAAACAAACAGCTCTACGTCGTCGTCTCACGACATCAAGTACAGACGACCTTTGATTTTAATCATCGCTCTAATTTGATAAATTATGTGATCAGACATGTCAAAGAAATGTTTGAGCTGCTTTTGGACGGATCGGGCCGCTCTTTAAAAAGTGATAAGCGTTAGACGTGCATTTTTACAACTTTTTCCCCGTGTCATGAATGCAGCACCAACACCAGTTCACCTTCTAGAATCACGCCTGTCTGCCACAGCTGCTCACCGCTGCCTCGTCTGACTTCATTTAAAAAAGAAAACACATGAAGAAGAAAAGGAATCATCGTCTTCACCTGAACTGTGTTTGTGTTCATCGCCGCCGTCGTGGTCGGACACTCCGCTCACGACTCGTCGACTTCTGAGAAGAAAACGACCAAACTTTCAGAAACTTTTCTTTTGTTGTTGTTCTGTTTTTATTTTTTCTTTCACTCTGAGGAATTTCATTGGACAGCTCGAGGACTGGCATTTCAGACACTCTTCAAGACTTTTCTTTTTCTTCTAGTTTGGCGTCCACGTCCGCCTCACTCAAGGGAGTCGACATTTCTTAAAGTGACGTCTTCGGTGCGAGGCGACTCGTCCCGGATGTTTTCACCTTCTGACTGATTTTAAAAACTCATTCACCTTTTTTCAAAAACAAGTTCATGTGGTTATTGTTCAGGTGTACACACACACACACACACACACACACACACACACACACACACACACACACACGTTGGAGAGATGGTCACCGTGATGAAAAAGAATCTGTTCCACTTTGACCTCGGAGCTGTTTGAGAGTCTGCTGTTCATCCTCTCCTTCATCACCAGGTTGTCGTAGATCATCAAATGTTAAACTGTTTCCCATGAGCCTTTGCAGAAACGCTGCCCTCCAGTCTCCTAAAGCAAACCGTTTTAAATGCATACGTGTGATATTTCTGAGAGGCGGAGTCAGTAGAAAAGTTTGTAAACACAACATTCAAACTAAGCCCCTCCTCCTGCTGGGCTCCACACACGCCCCCTGCAGGACGTAGTGTGTACATTTACTGCTTGTACCTACACTTCAATCTCATCCAATCACTGAATAGTATCCACTCCTAAACTCACCTGCTGCGCTGTCATTGGCTGGAGGAAACACACCAGCTCCGCCCCCAGAAACCTCCCGAGTCAACCGTCACAAATCAGAACAGTAGAATCCAGTGAGAGGACAGAGTCTCTGCAGACACAGTCACCACCACACATGTACGGAGGCCCAGAAGGGACAATGGAGCAACTTTAGGAGAAGTCTGTCTTTTATTTTGAAGGAGAAGTCTGTCTTTTATTTTGAAGGAGAAAGCTGCTGACTCAGCGTTACACTGAAGGTGCTCATGGGAAACAGTTGTTCTCAGATGAGGAGAGTTTCTAACGTTGATGGATTTGTTTGCTCTCTCTTCTTTTGTGTTTTTGGTTTTCTTTTTTACTCGTCTCTTCATTTGTTCCGTTCGCTGCATTGAGGTGTTTCAGATTCTGAGGGATTTTTAAAAAAGGTGTGATAGTCGCCGAGGAGAGGAGAGCCAGTATCTGGTCGACTTTGCTTCTGCTGCTTCTCTGAAAGCGAAAAAAAGAAAAAGGAATTGTGGGGGTTCGGGTCTTTCTCTCAGACGTTGCTGTGCAGCGGTCTGATCAGGTCTCTGAAGGTCTCCATGGTCGGAGTTTGATTGTAGCTTTAAAGGCTGTGTCGTGCCAACACTGCCAGCACTGATTTTAACCACAGAAGAAGAACCTTCATCTGACATTTCCCCCCGCCGCCCCCACCTCACAGTGGTGCGTCTGATTAGCTAAGAAGGCTACGTATGAACAGCTAGCATGAGAAACGTCCCCGCAGCGTGTCATTTCCTGCTGGCGGGTTAAATGAGGGCGGGCTCTGAGTCAGTCCTGGTCAGTGTTTCTTCTTCTTCTGGAGGTCATGTCGTCGAGATGATTCAAAAACGGGGGCGAGTAGTTTCCCTCGTTAGCGGGTGGGGTTTTTAAATCTTCTAAAAAACGTTCTATTATCAGAACGCCTGCGGCTCGTCGAGTCGCTCTGAGGCCATAAAGACGGAGGCGGCGGCGGCGGCGGTGGTGGTGGTGCGTGCTGGCGTCGGCTGTGAAGAATTCTGAATGAGATTTTGTGTTTTGTGGACGCTCGTGAAGAACATGAGGGGGAGGGTTCGTTTGTCGGGGAAATCTTTGGAGGTTTGATGTCTAAAAAGAAAAGCGGAGTTATTTGCACAGCATTCCCTGAATGCAGCCCTTTTTGTGTTCTTTCATTTGTATTTCTAAAGATGAAGCACTACTTCTATACAAATATAAATATATACTGTACATAACAAAGAAAAAAAAAGAGAAGAAGAAACACCCGAAGGAATGAATGTCAGAAATGTTTAAATTATTTCAAACATCACGTTTGGCCCCCGTTGGTTCGTTCTGTTTGTGCTGCCCTGAGAATGTGTTTTTTTTATTCTAATAATTCTAAATATTGCTCTTACTATCATAACCATTCTTTGTGTGTTCATGACAATGATAATAAGCGTTTTTGTATCTACTCACAAACTGTAAAACCAGCTGTAGAAGTTAGTCGTGCACTGTGTGTGGCTAATGGAACACCGCCCTGCTCTGATTGGTCCCCTCGCTCTGTGTTGATATAATAAGCTAATCTCGCAGCAGTACTGTAGTGAGCTTGCATGGCATAACGAGAACATGTATGAAAAACATGACCTGTTGTTTTCTGTTGTTTGTGCCATGAAGAAGCAGCAATAATAAAAGTTTGCCTGGAGGTTTGACAGAATCAGAGGAGTGTCCATATTTAAAGTGTTTTCAGTCTCACACACACACATTACACACACACATCAACATCATCACACACACACACAGCCTCACACACACACATCAACATCACACACACACACAGTCTCACACACACACATCAACATCATCACACACACACGTTACACACACATCGTCTTAAACATCGTCTCACACACACACACGTTACACACACACAGTCTCACACACACAGTCTCACACACACAGTCTCACACACACAGTCTCACACACACGTTACACACACACATCGTCTTAAACATCGTCTCACACACATCAACATCATCACACACACACACATTACACACACACACACACAGTCTCACAAACATCGTCTCACACACACACACACAGTCACAAACATCGTCACACACATACACCGTCTTAAACATTGTCTCACACACACACTCTCACACACACTCTCACTCTCACTCACACACACACTCTCACTCTCACACACTCTCACACACACTCTCACTCTCACTCACACACACACTCTCACTCTCACACACTCTCACACACACTCTCACACACACTCTCACTCACACACACACACACACACACACACACACACACACTCACACACACACACACACACACTCACTCTCACACACACTCTCACTCTCTCTCTCACACACACACACTCTCTCTCTCACTCTCACACACACACTCTCACACACTGTTTTGTTCATGTCGGCGGCGCTGAGAAACCAAAATAAGATTTGTGGAACAGGAAGTTGACGGACTCTGAAAACGTTCCTGTTTTTTTAAATCGTCATTCAGGAAGTGAAATCACCTCATGGTGTGTTTTTAAGTCACTCATCATGAGCTGCTGAGTCGTTCGGCAGCAGCAGAGTGGATATTACCTTTAAATGTTTTCTTACTTTGTGAAGGCTTTTTTTTTCTTTTCTTCATGAACGAGAAAAATACAATCAGTGACAAACATTCACGAGCTCGCCACCTCGGTTCTGCTTCTTCTTCTTCTTGAGTCGAATGAAACTTTAAACTGTTAACAAGAAAACGTTTTGTTAACAAGCCAAAATAATATTCCCGTATTCGACCAAAAACAAACAAACAAACAAACAACAGCGTGGTGGTTAAGATTTGTTTTTATGTAACTTTTTGTTATTACAGCTGAAAGCTTCAAGTTACTCCGTGATTTCTGGATGAGGCAGAAAAAAAACAAAACATTGAGAGGTCGTCTGATGACATCATCATAAGGTGAAGCTGTGGCACCCCGTCAGTCAACTTAATAATTACACCTGAAAAAACAAAAAAACAAAAAAACACCCACTGTGGTCCGAATGAGTCGAAACGCTAAGCTGAGAAAATGAAACATTTTGTTTTTAAAAGATGTGAAATTATTCAACGGCCTCTCGCATTATTATCTTGTTATTGTATTTCTACAGAGCATGTGGACCCGCCCCCGCTGCCCCCCCCCCGCTGCCCCCCCCTTTAGAAAACCACCTGACAAAACCGCCATATAGAGGTTGAAGCACATCTCGACTCCAGCAGCGTGCTCATCAGAAAACTGGCACTTTTCTTTTTTTTTGTACAATTTTGGATGGCGTTATTGGCCTTCATGTTTCAGCAGGTCAGTGATTGGTCAGTCAGAGAAGACGGGCAGACGTCTCCCCGCCGCCCTCCTCTCCATCAGTCAGTGCATCAGTAGTGTGTCCACAACAGAATCAAGTCAGACTGCGTCCGATCGGATCGTCGGGCCTGAGCGTGACGCCACACAGTGGTTCTCTACATCTTTAAAAACATCTCAAAAATATTAAATATCTGATTTGCATATAAAGACGTTTTTTTTTGTTTTGTTTTTTTTTACATATCTTGCAGCTCTTAAGGTCGAGGCCACCGAAACCCCCCACGCAGAAAACAACACCACCGCTCTCTGGAGGCGGGGCTTAAACAACCGGGGGAAAAGGTTGCATGATGTGTGCGGGTTTCCAGGTGAAGCCACGACCACAAAGTCTAAAAGTCCATTTGGCCCCATTTCTTTCCCAGTCTGTGCGAGTCAGCTGATACAGCCTCTCGGTATGAACTTGGCGTTAAGAACCAAGACGAGTCTCTTACACGCCCGGCTCGCCATCCTCCGTGGATGCAGATCTTTATCAGAGCAGCCATGTCCTTAAAAGTCACGATCTCATTGGAGAACCAGTCAGTGTCCAAAACGTCTCCTGATGCCGCCGTGATTATGACATCAAAGGTTGGAGGTCGTCCTGTTCTCGGGCGCCGCCGCCGCCGCCGCTCCTCCTCCTCCTCCTCCTCCTCCTCCTCCTCCTCCGCTGCGAGGGACTTCTGGTCATAACGGTTTGTCGATCACGGCGACTCCTGCAGGAGTGAGAGAATGAACAGATATCATTTGAAAACGTCCTGATGGAGCAGCGTCGCCATGGCGGTCAGCAGAAAGCGAGCTCTTGCCATAGTGGCGTTCAAGTGCATAGAAAAAAGAAAAGAAAAGAGGAGGAATAGAAAGACGTTGACACGGTCGTAGCGAGGAAAAAGAGGCCAACTTGGGAGTTGTTAGCGTACGCTTTGACAGCTCTGGCGTCTGTGTGGTCGCGCTGATTAATCTACGTTTCATGCTGCGTTTCTATTGGTCGGTGAGTTGACGTAGCTCGTAGAAGCGTTCACATTGCGAGACGATCGTCGTTTATTTCGGACACGGTCAGATATTTGGCTTTCTTTAAACACAAGACCGTGAGCTCATCTTTGATCGTCTCTCGCAGAGCGACGTAGGACCGCCGCTTTGGAGCCACGAGCGCAGACGTAACCACGACCGATCGTCTTTCATCTGGGACGGCCCGAAGTCATAAAGTCTGCACCCGTCGTTTAACGGCCTTTCAGAT